GTACGGCATCCTGCGATGTGTGCTGCTGGATGGATTTTAGCGAGACTGGTAGGGATTTCGAGGTGTCGAGAACTACCTGATTGATCTCCTGATCCACTTGAACACTAGCAATCACTGTCTCGTTGTTGTCTGCTGGACGATTCGCAATTAACCGAGACAACACATCGGCTTGCCCAAAATCTGTGGTCGATTGGTAATGGATGCTAAAATCGTAGACCTCTAAGGATAGATCCCATCTCCGTCGCCAGTTGATATAACCCAAACTGTTCTAGCAGGTGAATAGAATACTAGATGGTGGAAATGACCGGTAGTATTGATACAGCGGATCAAGAGATACTGACAAGCGGCGTCAACAAAGTGTCAACAGGAAGTTCACGTGTTTACCAGAATCACTGGGGTATATCGTTTGGTTGGTTCCAGCTTAGTAGTGATTGGCTGGACAGTTGTATGGTCTGATTGGATGACAGCACTCCATGTTGGGTTGGGTCCCGTATACGACCCTAGCCAGCTGGTATTCCACTTGTTCAGAAAAGTTGAACGTGCAAGGATACCTGATTCCGAGGTCACGGGTAGACAGCTGTACATAAAGGTACTCGTCAATGAGTGTAATTGATCCCTCGGGAACCGAACAGCTGCAATAAATGATGCTCGAATTTTTCGCCGAGAACTTCATAATCCAGGTGTCACAATATTTCTCAAGGGAGTGGAGGTCTTTCTGTATGTGCAGTAGTGTATATTGAAGTTCAGCTCGTCGGGATTCGTAGACTGTCTTTATGTCATCTGCAAATAGAAAAGGTATGCAATGAGTGATAACCGCACTGATGTCATTGATGTAGAGCAAGAACAATAACGGACCATGTACACTCCCTTGAATACCACCACTAGTGATTGGACGTGGTGAAGAGTGTTGGTCGGCTATGGTAACTGTTAGGAAGGAATAAACGAGTCGAACAAGCCAGGACCCCATCGTCTCGGCCGGCTATCCAAACCCATCCGCCCTGATTGGGGCGAACAGAGAGCCAACCAGGAGAAGCGGCCAATGAACGCTAGGTTGAAGTTCTTTTATTGGCTGTAAGTTAACCTTTCCAGAGCTTTCCACGGTCGCTTTAAATATATTGTTCACGAACTTTCCAATTTACCTTTATAATGAACGGTGTGATTTGCTAATTCATTCCTGTTGCCCTGCTCGTCCGATTCGTCTTCTCTCTGTCCTGTGGGGGGCCAGCGACTTCGGGTTTGATTGGGAATCAAGCGTCCATTCAGGCGAGGGACGAACACTTCAACTGGCGACGGTTTGAACCCTAATCAATATGTCCATATCGGCTGACGAGCTCAAGGCCATTCTACTGCAGCAACAAGCACAATTTGAGGCATCCCAACTCAGGCTGATCGAAACTCTTACGCGCCAACTCTCAATCCAGAACGGTTCACTGTCTACAAACGTCAAGCCGTCCGCATCGGTAGACGCCATCACTAACAGCATTACCGAATTTTCGTACGACCCCAATGCTGGCCTAACTTTTGAATCTTGGTTCAAGCGTTATGAAGATGTGTTCCGCGTTGAACTTGGAGACCATGATGACGATTGGAAAGTCCGATTGCTGTTAAGGAAACTTGGAACAGCAGAGCACTCCAGGTATGTCAACTTTATTTTGCCTAAGAACGCTCGAGACTGCACTTTTGAGGAGACTGTCAAATGCTTGGGCCAAATATTTGGAGAGCAGTCATCCATCTTCAACACACGATATCAATGCCTGAAGATCACCAAGGCAGACGCTGATGACTACGTCACTTATGCTGGCATCGTCAATCGCGAGTGTGAAAAATTCGACATCAAATCCATTACGGCAGATCAATTCAAATGCCTGATTTTTATCTGTGGCCTACATTCCCCACGAGATGCAGAGATTCGCACCAGGCTGCTGAGTAAACTTGAACAAGACCAGCAAATGACTCTACAGACCATAACTACTGAATGCCAACGATTGCTGAACCTCAAGCATGACACTCTTATGCTGGAGAAACAACAATCCATTCCAAATCTTAGTGTATTAAAGACAACCTCGAAGAAACCGCTTTCAAGTGAAACAGGCCAGGAAAAGCCCAGACAGAATACCAAGCCGCCGACTGCCTGTTGGAGATGTGGTGAATGGCATTTTGTTCGAGTGTGTCCATTCCTGCAACACGTTTGCCACAAGTGTCATAAACGGGGACATAAGGAAACGCACTGTCGATGCAGACCGCAGTTCAAGCGTGCAAGACATACGCGACCGCATTCAACTGTTCCCAAAAGATTCAGCAACTATAGTACGGTTCAAGCGGCCTACTCTGATGAACATGTGGCTCGCAGAAAGTACGTCAGAGTTCACCTGAACGGGCATCAAGTGCGTCTTCAGCTTGATACAGCCTCGGACATCACAATTATCTCCAGAAAAACTTGGCAATATATTGGTGCTCCGTCAATCAACCGAACGACACATGTTGCACTTAACGCTTCAGGAGATCAACTTAATCTCATTGGTGAGTTGCAGTGTGAAATGGTTTTTGGCGCTGCTCGGGCAAACGGTGTCGTGTACATTACGGGCCTGTCACATTTGAATCTTCTTGGACTCGACTGGATCCAGAAGCTCCACTTGTTCGACATCCCCCTGAGTCAAGTCTGCAATACCCTCCGGCTCGGAGATACGAGGCCCTCTTCAGAAGGTGACGGACCAAACATCAACCTGATCGAGCAGCTACGAAGGAAATTCCCGGCTGTGTTTTGTAACGACTTGGGAAGATGCACAAAGACCAAAGCAAGCCTTACTCTCAAAGACGGTGCCAAACCCGTATTCCGACCCAAAAGACCGGTACCGTACGCTGCGCTGCCGATTGTTGATGCGGAACTTGATCGTTTGGAGCGGGCAGGCGTCATCCAACCTGTGAACTACTCAGCGTGGGCAGCACCTATTGTTGTCGTCAAGAAGACCAATGGAGCCGTTCGTATCTGTGCTGACTACTCTACGGGATTGAATGCTGCTTTGAAAATGCACCAGTATCCTTTGCCAGTCCCAGAAGATTTATTTGCCAAGCTCAGTGGTGGCGCTTACTTTGCAAAGCTAGATTTATCAGATGCTTATCTTCAAATTGAAGTCGACGATGCTTCAAAGGAATTGCTGGCAATCAATACGCATCGAGGGTTATACCAGTTCAACCGTTTGCCGTTTGGTGTCAAATCAGCTCCCGCGATTTTCCAACAAATTATGGATACGATGTTAGCTGGGTTATCAGGAGTCGCAGCTTACTTGGACGACATCATAATCAAAGCGTCCACCTTCCGAGAGCTGACGGAAAGACTGGAAGCAGTTCTCCACCGCGTTAACGACTACGGTTTCCACTTGAAAGCAGAAAAGTGCAATACTGGCATGAAGTGTGTAAAGTATCTTGGCTTCATCATCGACAAGGATGGCCGTCGTCCGGATCCTTCCAACATAAGCGCCATAAGACAGATGCCTCCACCTGACAATGTGGCGAAGCTCAGATCATTCTTGGGGTTGATCAGTCATTACAGCTCTTTTGTGCCCGAAATGCATCGGCTACGAGGACCACTCAATGAACTTCTGGTAAAGGATCGCAAATTTGTGTGGTCTCCTGAATGTCAAGCCGCATTTGATAATGTCAAGTCTATATTGTGTTCTGACCTATTGCTAACGCATTTCAATCCGGAGCTGGAGATCGTAGTTGCTGCTGATGCGTCAGACTACGGAATTGGAGCAGTCATATCCCACATTTTCCCCAATGGTTCGGAGAAAGCTGTGGCGCATGCGGCCAGATCACTCACCCCAGCGGAACGTAACTATGGACAAATCGAAAAAGAAGCTTTAGCCATAGTGTTTGCAGTCAAGCGATTTCACAAAATGCTCTATGGACGAAAATTCACGCTGTTTACTGACCACAAACCCTTGGTCGCAATCTTTGGATCAAAGAAAGGCATTCCGGTCTGCACGGCCAGTCGTCTCCAACGCTGGGCAACGGTTCTACTTGGTTACGATTTCGTCGTCAAATATCAATCTACACACAACATTGGTCAAGC